ATAGTTTCCCGACGTTTACTCTCGGTTCTGCACGTTGCAAGTATTTACAGTACGGCCGAGTTTTCAAGCTGATCATGGCACTGAACAACACACCCACAAAAAGCATACTGTACTTTCCCTCGGCCTCTCCAAGCAGTCTCTCCCGCAGGCAATCCTAATCATCAGCCAACACGAGTGAGCCATACTTAGAAGCTTCACGCTATCTTATCTTTCCCAAGCACACACAGGCTGTCCATAATGTCTCCTCTCCTCGCCATGAGTCCTCTGACTTCCGTTACTCTTTGTCAGGCGCTGCCACTTTTTTCCCCAGCGCCACAATAATATCGCATCACGTCGCCTAGTTAGCTCCGCTTTCGCTGAGTTCGAGGCATTACGCAGTTGAAACCTCAATGTTTGTGCATAAAATAGGGTCACCGAGAGTTCATTCTGTCGCCTGTTGTCATACTGCCGCACGCAGTCGGTAACTCTGGGTCGGATAAAGTGCAACCACTTCAGACGTGTGTTGAACCTGCAATGACGCTTTCTTCAGGAGCCCTTTTACTCAACCGCGATCGTGCAGACGGCGTAAGCGAAGAAGACGTGAAAAGGATTTCGCTTAGTGATGGTTTACGCGGAGACGTAATGACAGTACTGGCTGTTACGGGATCATGCGCGGAAGCGACGGAGCATGGCGACGCGGGTAGCGACCGCAGCAGTCGTTCCAGCAGTTGTCGCAGCAGTCGTCGCAGCAGTCGTCGCAGCAGTCGTTCCAACAGTCGTCGCAGCAGTCGTTCCAACAGTCCCGACGATTTCGATTTCGCGAGGGCCTTCATGGGGGTCCCGCGACTCTCGTTTCAAGACGACGACGTTTGGTCGGACTTCTTCTCGGGAAGCACGGCAGCAACCGCGTCGGTCGACTCGCCGTCGCTTCCGAGTCGGACTCACAACGGTGCCCTCGGGCGTTTTATCAGCGTCTTCCGCGGGGAGTGTCGCGGCGGCGGTGCTGACGGCGAGGTTTTCCCATGCGTTGACAGCGGACGAGACGCAGACGGAGACGGAAAACCGGACGTGAAAGTGATACCGCTTGTTTTACCACCAGCTGTGCCTGAACTCGCATCTGTTGAGTGCTCTTCGAGGCGCGTCGAAGCTCGCGTCGAAGCGCGAGTCGAAGACGAGGAACCATTGGAAGTATCTCGTGCGTTGGCTCCGTCTGCCGCGGCTGCATTCCAAGCGGCACAATGCTCTCGAACTGTCGACACGGCCCGTGCGGCGGAAGAACATTCGGATCGGCCCGTGCGAGGGTGTTCGTCGGTGTCGTTCGGAAAAGCCGCGTCAGCCGCGATAGATGCGCTGCATCTGGACCGAGACGGTGCGACGCGTGGTGCTTCTACGGAGTGTGATTATACGACGTGTGATTTTACGACATGGGATGCACGCGATGGCTTGAGAGGTCGTGGCGAACGGGCTCCGTTAGAAGCTAACTCGAAGCAGCCGTTAGTGGCTCCCCAACGGAGCCTGTGGAGAATGTTTCGCGCATCAGCGCCGTCGAAAGAACTGCGACCCGCTGCGCCAGCCATTCCCGCTGCGCCAGCCATTCCCGCTGCGCCAGCCATTCCCGCTGCGCCAGCCATTCCCGCTGCGCCAGCCATTCTTGCTGCGGCGAAAAATGCGACGGGTGCGACGCCGAACGCGAGGCTTGCGACGGTTGCGAGAGGTGCGACGGCTGCTGCGACCGTCGCGACGGTTGTGACGGTTGTGGCGGATTCGAGGGCTGACTTTAACAGCACAGCCTCGTCGTCGGTTTCTCCGTGTCTCGTCTCGACGTCCGAGCATGGTCCACGTCAGCAGCGGGACGAGGGTGGTCGGAATCCCGATTTCGCAGCAAGCGTCGCTGACACGTCATCAGTCTTCTCTAAGGAGCTAGTCGACGAGGCTGCTGATCTGGCGGAGCGTTGGAGCCAATTGCGTCGAGACACGTGTGCGGCGGAGGTTTGGAGCCGAAGCAGTTCTACTAACACCAACCCTGACTCGCAGGAAGGGGGCGACAATTCGCAAGCGTTCGTTTCTGTTCGCGAAGTGGAGAAGGGGGAGGAGAAGCGAAAGGCGACCCGTGTGGAGGAGGTTCGGATACAAGGCAGGCTGGTCCGAACCACTTTGTGGAAAAAGTTTTGGGAACCGGAGCAGGACGATCAGCCAAAGCAGGAGCAGGAGAACAAAACGGCAAAAGGCGATGAGGTGACACTTGAAACTGCTATTGGTGTGTCAAGCGACCAACACCAAGGCCTCGCTCGTGCCAAGCCCCAGGCCCTGCTGTGGGAGCAGCATCAGTCCCAGAAAAAGGAAGAGGTAGATGAAAGGCAGCAGCAGCAGGAGGAGCAGCAGGAGCAGCAGCACCGGCAGAGGGAGCAGCAGCTGCAGGAACAGGAGCAGAGTCAGGGAGGGGGAGAAGACGACAAGGAGCCAGTGTCGTCAGAAGGTGGTCTAACTTCGTCAGAAGACCCATTTCGCTTCAAGCTTCCCGGTGGGGCAGAATCAAAGTTTCCGGAAGCTGGGAATCACGTTTTGAGCCACCCGAAGGGTCACCCGCGAAGTCCATCGGAGGATCTGACTGACAACCCACCCACGCACCCGATTGGCTGCCCAGGAAAAAAAACTTTCCCATTCACAAAACTGGCTGAGCGGATCTTTGCATCCATCTGCCCCCCACCGTTGCAATCGCCGAAAGAGTCTAGATGCTACTCTTCTCCAATCAACACAAAAGGCTTCCCCGAACTGGCTGGCCGAACCTGTCCCAGCACGCGTGCAACCGTCGCGCGAGCTTTGACGACGCTCCTCCTCGATCGACACTTTTTCAGTCGAACCTTGAGTCGCTTGAGTCAACCCTTATTGAGTCGCTCCAGCTGAACCTCAGCTCGATTCAAACGGGCTCTGGTTGCGTCAGCGTCAGTGTTGAGACTCGGTAGTGATTCAACAGCTGCATCTCCAAGTGCGGCTGCGGAAACTGCAACAGTGAGAATCGGATGGAACTCTGTAGCTACAGTGAACCAGAGCGCTACAGTTGCAGGCCTCTACACAGTGCGGAAACCGTTCTGGTGGGACAAGTGCGGAGGGTTTTGGAGCAGGATAAGCTGCAGCAGCAACTAACCCGGGTGCAGGAGGAGCAAGAACAACAGCAGCGCCACCACCAGCAGCAGCAGCAGCATCAGCAGCACCAGGAGAAGCAGGAACTGAAGATTCGGCGTTTGCAGCATGAGCGGCTGCATGGCAGTGCAAGAGAGAGGCCGAGACGGCGCCGACAAATGCGTGAGGAGAAGTTGATGATGGCACGCAGAGCAATGAGCATGCCATGCAATTGACATGCGCACTCCATGCAGATGGGATGAGTATGCCATGCAATTGACATGAGCACCCCATTCCATGCAGCTGGGATGAGCATGACATGCCCCATGCAGCTAACGTGAGCATGCTGTGCTGCTATTGACATCAGCATGCGTGCAAGTGACATCAGCATGCGTGCAAGTGACATCAGCATTTTCATGCAATTGACACGACCATCTAGTGGGACTGACCTCTACACAGATGGTGTTACAAGGTGATGTTGACTTGCGACCCCCTTACTGACCATGATCCCGGACATGAAGGATGGGAGATCGGAGCGGAGCACAGCAGCTGATCTTCAGCATGGGTGACCCATGTGACTCTCATGTTGACCCATGTGACCCTCATGTTGACCCATGTGACCCTCATGTTGACCCATGTGACCCTCATGTTGACCCATGTGACCCTCATGTTGACCCATGTGACCCTCATGTTGACCCATGTGACCCTCATGTTGACCCATGTGACCCTCATGTTGACCCATGTGACCCTCATGTTGACCCATGTGACCCTCATGTTGACCCATGTGACCCTCATGTTGACCCATGTGACCTACATACATTGACCATGCAGCGCGGACATGTAGGATGGGAGGTGGAAGTAGAGCAGCTGATTTTCAGCATGGGTCGCGGGTTTCATAAGCATTAGGACTCAACTCAATCCGGTGTTCTCTTTGTATTCTAATGTAACAACCAGGGCTCAGGTTATCAGTGTAATTTACCCTTCTACACTGATTACAAGGGTGAAATTTTGGGTCTACACTGATGTGCTGGGGTAATTTTTTTATGAGTTAGTGTTACACTGATCAGTAAGTGTATCGATGTAGGCCACACTGATGCCTTGGGGTAAAGTTTCCCTCAGCGAGGATTACACTGAAGAGCGTACACGGACCCCCACACCCACCCCCCCCCCTCCCCCCCCCCCCCCCCCCCCCCCCCCCCCCCCCCCCTTCCCCACAAACAATCGGTCGAGGGGGAGGGGAGGCGAAATTCTCGCCAATTTCGTAAGTCCTCCCCTTCCCCCCCCGCCCCTCACAAACAATCGATCGAGGGGGAAGGGGAGGCGAAATTGTCGCCAATTTCGTAAGTCCTCCCCTTCCCCCCCGCCCCTCACAAACAATCGATCGAGGGGGAAGGGGAGGCGAAATTGTCGCCAATTTCGTAAGTCCTCCCCTTCCCCCCCGCCCCTCACAAACAATCGATCGAGGGGGCAGGGGACCTGGGAGGCAGATAACTTTCTCGCCACCTGTCATACACACCTAATTTACACATGGTCAGTGCTTGAAATAAAACCACACTGATGATGCAGGGTAAAAATTTCAAAACCTGATGTTACACTGCTCTATCAGTGTACACACTGCCCATAAGGGTTTTTGAAAAAGCTACACTGCCAATCATGAGTAGGCCAAAACCAAACCTGAGCCCTGGTAACAACACTAATTGTTTCTAATGTTTGACCATGAAACAGATGTGGTGCCTAGGGCTGTACGGTTCTAGATATCCTAGCTAAAGCCACTGACAGTTCGTTTTCTGACATACTGGCAAAACACAGCCTAAACCATCCAGGCTCGCTACACCCGCTTGCAGCTCCAGGCAAAGCACAGCCTGAACAATACACTTAAGGCTGCCTGAACAATACTACACTTAAGGCTGTATTGTTCTGCAGATTCTTGTTATAGCCACTGACAGCTCGTTTTCTGGCAAACCAGCAAAGCAGAGTCTAAACCACCCAGACTCGCTACACCCACATGCACCCCCAGGTGTGATATTCACCCTCCCTTCCCTCAGCAGTCGAAGAAACAATTCCTCCTCTCCTTGAAAACTGTTTTTAGGCGTTATAAACTTGCGAAAGTCGCACCAGAGAAACACCCCTGCGTTGCTTTCAGCCAAGCACGGCACGCCTATTTGCAACAGAGCTTCTTGTGCTGTAGATGAGGCTTTTCTGAGCCTGCGCTGGTTCTCTGAGAGGTAGGCTTGTGCGAATACCGAGTCGCTCAATAGAGGGGCGAGGAGTGCTTGGGTGTGGCGAGAGGGGGAGCAGAAGCGGGCGAGTTTGGTGACTGCTGATTGGACGGTGGGGTTGAGGGAGTAGCAAGCACCAATGCGGAACCCAGGAATACCCAAGTCCTGCAGGGATGACAGAATGGAGAGAATTTGGGGAATTAATTATTCGCGTGATAGACACAAACACTCGTAGACAAACAAATAGATTTTACTGCTGTCAATATTCGTTTCTTTCTTCCTTCAACTCGGAATTGTGGAACCCACCTTGGAAGGTCCATAGACGATGTGCAGAAAAGGATAATCCGAAGGCTCAGCAAGGTGCAGAAGTGATGTGAAACCATCCCCATTATAGACTGAACCAGCATAGATTTCGTCGGAAATCATATGGAGACGGTTTTTCCTGCCATTTCCAGCTCATGAGGGACCAAGAGGAGCAGAAAAGGCAGTTCAGGGAGTTATCAAGCGGTTACAACAGAATTGATGGGTATCGCCAGGGTTGATACCCAGCAATAAAACGTACCTGCAAAATTGCAGCACGCTGAGAAGAGTAGCATCGGAAAAGGTACGGCCCAGAGGGTTGGAAGGAGACGATAGCAGCACACCACAAACCTTCCCTCTCCTCCTTTTCTTCCCCCCTCCCCTCTCCTTCCTACTTCCACTCTCCTGTCTCCTGTCTGCCCTCTCATCCTCCTCTCCCCTTCCTCCCACCAGCTTCGGCTCCTCATCACCTCCCTCCCCCTGAGACTCCCTGAGAGCGGCTTCTAACGAGGATGTGCTTATATCGAATCCACTGTCACTATAGGTGGCAGCAGGGATAATAGTGACATTTGCCTGTCGCTCGAGATCCACTGTGAATCTGGAGTTGAAGAGAAAAAGAAAGGGATGGTTATGGTGAGAGCGGTCAGGTGAGGGGAAGGAACAAAGTTTGGAAATGAGAGTGAGCAGGGAGAAGGGGAGTGAGTAAGAATGAGTGGGAGTGAGTGAGTGAGAGGGAGTGAGTGAGAGTGAGTGGAAGTAGGTGCGAGAAGTTTGCCTTACTAAGGGGGGACACAGCATAGAATGGAGTACATGCAAGCCCGACTAACCCAGGGTAGAAGCGTCAATAACCCAGGGGTAGAAACACGAGTAACCTGGAATTAACACACAAAAAGCTCTAGGTAAAACCACGGCTTACCCTGGGTAGAAAGGCGTTGGAACAATGAATAGATCGCCTGCGTCAGCAAGCACATGCGCCAGCAATCCAACGGCTGCAGTGACTCCAGATGTGATCACCAAACGGTCAGGATCGATCTCGATCCCCTCATGCGGATTGCATGAGGATGGATTATGGGAAAGATTGAGAGCATGTGTCATGAAAGCAGCCATTGCCTGAAGTAAAGACCACGGCAGTGTTGGGATGCCGAAAGGGGAGAACGAAGGAGGAAAAGGAAAGGAGAGCATGACAGACGACAGAGGAGAAGGAAAAGGTTGCGGGAGGGAAATGAAAGAAGGTAAGAATTTCTAATCATATAAAAAAAGGGAATAAAAATAGGACAACAGACAGAACAAAACAAGCGCACAAACTAACTAGATGAGTGATATTGCCTCGCTTTTGTTATTGGAGAGCGCTTACTTCACGGAAAGGCTTGTCCCCATGGAACTCGCCATATGCTGACGTGGCATCAACGGCTGGCATCTCACGCTGTAGGCGATCTGAGATGAGATCAAGCGAGAGCTGATTGGGACGTATGAGAGAGATTTGGGAAAGAGAGGTGGTGGTGGGGTGGAAATCATAGGATTTCGTTGAAAGACTCAGATCATAGGAGCCAGATCGTCAGGCTCGGGTCGGGTCAGGATGGATTGGAGAATGAATGAGGGGCTTACTCACAGGGCGTGTTTTTTGAGAATTCTAAAAAAACACGTGGTGGTGGGGTGGGAATCATAGGATCCCGTTGAAAGGCAGATCATCAGGCTCGGGTCGGGTCAGGATGGATTGGAGAATGAGTGAGGGGCTCACTCACAGGAAGCCGTGAGCAAGAGAACGCGGGCCCCTTTCAGGTGGTGGGGTGGGATTTATAGGATCCCGTTGAAAGGCAGATCGTCAGGCTCGGATCGGGCAGGATGGATTGGAGAATGAATGAGGGGCTTACTCAAAGGAAGCCGTGAGCAAGGGAACGCGGGCCCCTTTCAGGCTCAGGTCACACCAAGAGTTGATGGTTACCACTCTCGGGAGTGCCTGGTTACCTGTATACACCGTTCCTGGTAACCATGTCTGTTCAGTTTCTGGTTACCACTGTCATACAGCAGCGACATGTTGCGGTCTGATACCACTAACTTTGTTATCGGCGAGTCCGAGCTGAATGACAACATGGGGTCGCGGCTCACTGGTTACCACTCGAATGTTACCACTCGCATGCGCTCGCATCATGTTATCGCAATCTATCACCCACTTTGTTATCGGCAAGACCTAGCTGAATGACGCCATCGGGTCGCGTCCTCGCGTCGTACGGGTTTTCCCGCGCAAATCCCAGCCCGTGATAGTACAGTGACGGCTCTTCAGCAGCTAGTTGCGCGCCGCGGCTGGAGAGCACGTCTGTATCGTTATAAGCACCCTCCGACATTGCTGCGAACCCGACGGAATCAACTCCAGCAGCTACGTGCGCATCCTGCCGAATCCGGCATGTAAGGGAGGCTACAGGAGTAGGGGAAGATTTCGCGTTCAATCGCTCTACTCCGGCATTGAAACTCGCGCGTTCTCGGCTTTGATTGGGATCGCGGATTGCGCAGCGGCAAGTTTCCGGCGCGAACAAGAGGGCTGACATATGACTAATTTTTGTAGAATAGTAGGCTACATAAGTGAATTCGGGTCGCATTCTTTCCCCACCGCGCAAGGCATGCCACAGCTCGGTGGGAGAGAACATGCTTGCCAAAAGCATCCTCCTGAATCCTCTCCGATATTGACCACATTTGGCTTCCACAGCTTAACCTCGTGTTTTTTGGGTTGCGAAGCAACCTATTACAATCGTTATGTACAATTTTTTTTCATCGTTATGAAAAAAAAATAGCGAATCGTGGCTAAGTGATTCAGTGCTGTGTATTTGCCACGACAATTTAGCACGTGCCGTACCACATTCTTTCACATTTCCTAGGTAGTTCGCCTTGACTGGTAACCTATACTTTATCGATGAAACATAAACATGACTTGCCAAAATGATGTACCGTAACTGTGAATGCGTGACCGTTTATTCGGTAATGCATATGCCGTAAAAAATAATGTATAGATGAAGTATAATGATGATTGAGTGCAAAATGCATAAATATACATGCATATACGACTGTGGTGAATATACATGTGCTCTGTTTATTTCGGTATAGGTCCGGTGCAGTGAAATGAATGCATGGCATGATGGAAATGCGTGACAGTTAATTGACCCAGACCTTATGCTACCGCATCCCCTGCCTAGCATGGGGGGGAAGTCGATAGCATAGTTCCTGAATCATCCAACTGTTACATGAAACAACACAATCTGTGTAAACTAAAAAAATGATCAAAATCCATCAAATCCAGTTCAAGTGAACACACTCACTGAGTGGGCAAAGAACCTTCTCGGAAATGATAGCTTGACCATTTTTTTAAAATCCACAGATACGCATTGTTAATGCAATAGCAGGTGGATATGTATGAATATGCACACAGAGACACATACGCACACACGCACATACCGATATGCACACACAAAGACGAGTCACAATCAGAAAATGAACCTAAAAGAAATCTAACATAACAATGCAGTAGCATCAATCATTAACATTTCAAACAAAAATCAAACAAAATCCTTTTAATTTCCACATTAGCCTCCGAACGTTATAGCGAAGACCCTGGGAGGGAAACGGGGGGAAACGTAGTGGGAAGGGAAAGGAACGGGGCAGAAGGGGCAGAAAAAAGGACGGAGGCAGAGACACATTAGAGAACTACGATACGACGGAATTACAGGATTTGAAACGTAGGCAGGTGGGGAAGAGAAGTACAAAGGAGAATAACGAATAAAAATACCAGATGTGATAATAACCGCATAGAGGAAACGCAATAATCTGGGCAAGGAAAGAAGAAAACATAAATGAGCTCGTATATAGTAGCGTTTTGATAGATACATAAACGAGCGAAAGAGTTTGACAGAGAGAGAGAGAGAGAGAGAGAGAGAGAGAGAGAGAGAGAGAGAGAGAGAGAGAGAGAGAGAGAGAGAGAGAGAGAGAGAGAGAGAGAGAGAGAGAGAGAGAGAGAGAGAGAGAGAGAGAGAGAGAGAGAGAGAGAGAGAGAAAGACTTCAATAAACTATGGCTTCTAAAAAAACATTCGTAGACTTATGAAAGACATATTCAAAAACCGCACGAAGGTAGGAGTGGAACCAATACGGAAGGAAGATAACATGCAATACGAGGACTATACGCGAGATGCGAGGAGAAGAAACATTGCAAGAAATGAGACAAAAAGAGCCTGTAAGTATGACAGAAAAAAACACACACACACACACATAACTACGAGAAGATGGGGCACAGATACTAGAAAAACCGAAAGAAGAGCGTCTAAGCTGATAAGAATAAAAAGGAAGGAGGAAAACGACATGATAGAGAAATGAGAGGATAGTTCTAGGAGTTAAGAGCGTGAGCAGCACAGTTGGACTTACGGGAGAAGACACATTATTTAAGAACGACCTAACGGTTCCGTCGAAATGGACGATATCCTTAAAAACGATTAAGTTTCTAGATAACTTAGAACTTACTGGTTCAAATTAGAGAAAAGAACATGAACGAAACTGCTCCTAATATTTTCTTGAAGTCTAAAAAGAACTAGCAGACGTTAGTACGTACGCTAGTCCTTAAATTCTTACCTAGTAAGTATATGACTGCTGCAGTCGTAGGAGGAGCGGGAGTTGAGGGAGACGCGGGAGGAAACTAGGGCATTGACGATCCAGAAAGAGACGAAATGTTGGGAAAGGAATTCAATTATCGGCTTCAATTAAACTGCCTTGAAACAATTTTCCGGAAGTCGAATGTAGTTCTGTTAGCACAGTGGTTTGAGTATCTTGTTTTAATCCAATGGTCTCGGGTTCGGTTTTTGCCGCGGCCTTTTAATATCAATGCAACATTTTCAACAAGTTGTGGAAGCACAGTGGTATGGATTTCAAATCAGAAGCCGTTGGTCTCCGGTTCGATTCTTGCTGCTACCTTTTCATGTCAACACAATATTGGATATGTGTCATGTCTAAGAAATCTAGGAAAGTACGTAGTAGAACAAAATATATTATTTACAAATAAGCTTCGCAACCCTATGTCGACTTGGTCGCCTCTTGTTTTTTTTCAAGGGTTACACATAGCCGTAATTGCATCATCTATTTGATGCAACATTCAGACTGAAACGCATTTTGTTATTGTTTTAACTTGTGGTATTAATAGTTATGGCACTTAATGTACGATTTTAATAATTTTAATCCACGCATTTAGATTGCATCCATTGTAATTTCTGTAGCAAAGATTCCCATATTTGTGTGTTGCGATGATGCTGTTATGTATGTGCCTGATATCTTAATTGTTGATAAATTTTTGAAACAGCAACACAACCCATGCAATGTAAGAACCACAAAATAGTTATACATATTCCTCCTTCTCATCAATATTGTTAGGATAAGAATATACCAGCCATATAGGTCAATTTTGGAATTTCCCTTCGGTAGTAGTAGGTAGTCAGAATCTAGTCTTCTAGCGCATATTCGCTGAATGTGGCTGTTCGGTCAACTGCGAGTTGCGAAGGGAATATTTGGGTTCGTTCAAGGTACAGCACAAGAGGGAACATTGGTTGAATCTGCCTACGTGGAAGGCTTCTCGCAATCTCTGGAAAAGACCCAGCCGTTTGGTCGGCGCAAAGCATCCTGTTGGTCGAAGTGAAGACACGTGGCGTCCATCCCGACCAAAAGTTGGAGCTCTGGCGCGAACGACTTGAGCAGTGGGTTTAGTGGTCGCATCGCATCGCATCTGGTTTCCCAAAAATGCTTGCTAGGAGGAATCGTCGGCTTGGATCTTCACTCACGATGCCATTCGACGATGGTGTTACCAGAGCTCAACGACTCCATAACGATCGTCGCGTAACTGGCCGCTCTCCTGCCAATCCATCCAACAGGAGCTTGGGCCCGGTTCGGCAGGCATTAAAAAAATGGCCTCGGCGGATGGGCTACAGTGAAACGACCACCCTTGAACCTTCCTTGATAAGCGCGTTAATGATTATCAAGGCTCGATATAAGCGGATCTACGCCGAACCTGACAATAATGGAATGCCTCCCGAACAGTCCTTTTTGTGCAGGCGTTTTCACCAGCTGGAATCTTCCACGAACCCAGTCTCTCGGGCAAAGTGCCCATTTTCTCATCCGCCGCACCATGCGGCCTCGAGGCCCCGCACCATGCGGGGTATCAGTGAATGGGGGCATTAAACAGTGACTGGTCAATTAAGCCAGCCAATCACATGATCACGCGATCCATCACGGAAGCTGCCTACATCAATCTACACCCAATTAATGCCACCCGAACAGTCAAACCATTTTTTCTCTAGGTGCACTGTAGCTACAGTCCCATTTCGGGGCTGTTTCTAGAAATGCACAGGGGCCATTTTTTGGGGGCCCATTAAAAATGCCCATAATGGCCACAATGGCCATAATGCCTGCCGAACAGGGCCTTGGGCTGCCATGACCTACGCAAGCAGGTTCAAACAGACCTATCTCAACTATCTCAAGAGTTAGACCTATCTCGCCTTTCGACCTTCAATCCAAGAGTCGTTGTTTCATTTAGTCTGTTAGTCCAACGGCATCAGGTTCTGTTGAAAGCGACGCCAGGCTGACGCCTTCGAAAAATTGCTTTTCCCTACGCTGTTTTTGAGTATTCCTTTTACAGTTCCACTCCAATTGATGCCATGTTCGTCCTCGCAATGACCGATCTGGGTGCTGCTCGAGGAGCGGGAAACGCGGACTGGGAGCTCGAGGAGTTTCTCCGTCGAAGGGAGATCGACGGTACGCTGGCTGTACTGCGCAGGCACGGTCACGATCTAGCAGTGAAGCGCCGCCGCAAAGCACAGGAAACGGAGTCAATTGCAGTTGTTTCGAGTCGAGCGCCAGAAGCGGGGAAAATGGTGCTGGTTCCAGAGAAAAGCTCTCCGACGCAGATCGCAGAGCTTAAAGAGTCGCCGTCAGCGTCGTCGCTGTCGCTCAGCGACAGGCTGTCAGGATTGGACGGCGACGAGTGGGACGATCGGTGGACGGACACGGAGGACGGGTCCTCCAGCACATACTCTGACAGTGTGAACGCTGACGGACTCTGTCTCGACGATTTTCCAGGCGTCCAAACTCCGTCTAATTGTTTCGAGAGCAACACCGTGGCGAAAGGAGCAGACGGCAGCTTAGACTTGCCTGGGTTCGAAACAGACGGCGCCGTCGCAGAGTTGCCAGAAGTTGCGATCTCGCCAGGTGACTGTACGACCAAGAGATCTGTCAGGGAGTCTGAGACAGGCACAGATCTGTTGCTATGGCCGCTCAAGACGCCCCATGCGACGGCGGCTGCTTGTATTGGAAGCACAGGTCGAGATCCGCTTCGGGTACATGACGTTGCAATTTGCGACCGTTACGACGAGGAAAATGTCGCCGACGAGTCGTCTGTGACGGCCTCCGATCTCGAGGCGTTCCTCGAGCGGCTGCGAATCCCGGAAGCCGCCTTAGAGTCGCACGGCTGGCAGCAATTGATGACGCGTGCGACGCCTACGATGGAATACACTTCGCATGCCCGCGACTGTGCGATCGAGGGTTACGCGAAGAGCACGTGTTACCGCGGTCGCATGGTGGTCAAAGGGGTGACTTTGGAGGCGGTGCGGGACTTTCTTCTCGACGACGAGTTCCGCGGGGAATGGGACGAGAATCGGCTCGAATCGACGGTTCTGGATGGCTGGAACGAATTTGGGGTGTCCGTCGTTCGCTGGGTTCGTCGTCTCCCGTTTTTCCTCCGCAATCGCGAATACGTTGTTTCTCGGCGCGTCTGGTCCCTCGCCCCGCAATCCTTTCCTCAAACGTTCTTCTGTATTAACCGACACACGTCACACCCATCAGCCGTCTCTCGGCCTTCCCTGCTGCGCGTGCCGTACTTTTACTCTTCGTGGCGAATTCGCTATGTTCCGAGCGAGGCGCATGGAGAGAAGCTGACAGGACGAAGAGGCGGGCTGAAGGGGGAGGGGGGCGAGGCGGAGGGAAGCGACGCCAAGGCGGAAGGGCAAGGGGCCAGGGCGGCGGGACATGAGCGGAAGCCGGGAGTGGAGATTGTGACGTACCACCAGGAAGAATCAGGGCTGCCGCGGGAATTGGCCAGGGTGGCTGTGGTGAGGGGCATGTGGGGTCACATGCTGAGAATTGAAGCTGCTCTGAGGAGTTACTGCCAGGCTCAGCGCACTGTCAGGCAGACGTTGCCTCCTTTCATGCTGACCATGAATGATTTATGAGATGATTAAAGGGTGGGGCTGGTCCAAGAATTAGGCAACAGACCGATTCCTTGTCTAGGGGATTAATGACCCTGACCTGTATGGAAATAGCCCTGATGATTAGATGGCTATGCAAGATTTGGAGTTAATTTGTACATGTACACGCAGATGACATCTATATGTTCACACACCTCTAGTACAGACCTTGGTATAGGCTTTTGTGTCAGGTGTCCGCTGCTGAGGATAGCTCCCTTTTGTAAATGCTGATGAAGCTATAAAAAGCTCTTCAATCACAATCTTGACATTTCCCTTATCCATCCGCTCTGAATCCGTATCTTAAACTCAAACTTCAATGACTGCCGTCTTGGCCTTCCGTTTCCTGCTCCATCCAATCAGTCTGCTCAGATCTTGACACAGGCTTCGCAGCTCAGAGGGTCTTTCATGCTGAAGACCGCACCCAGCCGCTGCCAGAACGTGGTTGGGAACCTTAGCGCTCAAGGAGAACGAGGTCTTCCTGTGAGATTCTGAGCGTTAGTCTTGAAACAGTTGCACTGATTCAGCTGCCAAGTAGGTCCAGTAATCCAGAGCTTGCTCACCTAAAATGGGCGAAGATGTAGATTTGAGCCATTAACTGGTTCGATTGAGCGTGGGTAAAGCCAGTTGACGCCGATTTTTGGTGAAATGATGTACTCGACATGTTGCTTGCCATATGACCGATACTCTGGACCGCCTTCAAGGCTAGCTGGTCCCCACACTCACAAATATGGCTGTACTTGTTGAGCGACAAAGAAAAGCAAAAGCTAGCAGTATGTAGTGAATCGTGAGGTATTGCGTGATTCATGGCCGAATGAACCTTGAAGGTTAGCGCGAACTGGTGAGCTGAACGGATGAGCCAGGAGCGTGAGGTCAGCCGCGGTGGTAGCGAGGCAGCAACTCTACCCTAGAATGCTGTGCAGATGGAGGGAAATGAGGAAACCAGGGGGGGAGAAAAGGGGAGCACTACTGTACACGCTAGGTTGGGATGTGTCAAGAACGATTCCAGAATATTTATCAACGATCAAGAGAGTTTGAGTTGGGTACATCACCAACCAGGATGAAAAAAGCAGAAATCGAGGGTCGTGTTCAGAGTTTACTTCCCTTGGTGGTTTCAGCTTTGAGTGACGTCATTTGTTGGTTCGTTTTGTACGCGGTAGTTGCAACTACAGAAACGCCAACCAAAATGTGAGAAATCCTTCTGCCAGAGTTTCATTTCCACCTTGAAAATGTCGGCATTTCCAAGGTGCTGCTTCTGCGCAGCAGTCTAGGGCATAATGGTGCTCGACGCTGATCATCCATGTTACTATCAACCTGCTTCCATCTGCATTAGTCAATCTTGAATTTGGTCAGTACTCACATTTACGAAAATGTTCGACATAAGGTCGGGTCCGTCAAGCAGACGCGTGGCGCTTCCGTTGATCCTGGTGTTGATATCTATTGCTGGCGGAAGAACCACCTCGGAGGAGCATAACAGGAGGAGCTTAGGTGGTGTAGGCCTCGAGCATGCCATGTCGCTCTATCGGGTAAGCTACACATACTTGTTTCACTCGAGAATGTAGAAACTCATATCGAGACGAGTAGTTTCATAGCTCTCCTCGTTGAATCGTTTCCCTTTAAGCATGTGACGACGAACCTGCCTAGAGTATTTCTCACCCCAGGAGCATAAACGTGAAGCCGTCCCCTCTCGATTCTTTTAGTTGGAGCCAAAGCTAAACCTCCAGGTCTCCGCACTATCTCCGCTGGTTTTTGAGAATTCTCAAATCCCCTCACGATTCTTTTTGTTGGAGCCAAAGCTAAACCTCCAGGTCTTCGCACTACCTCTGCTCCCGTTGATCCCAGAGCTGGGAGAAGGCCTACGGACTCGAACCCGACTCCGTCTCCCCTCCGGAAAAGTTTGAGCTGCCCGCGAATCTTCCGCCAGCTCCGCACCTGGAGGACTGCTCCGCGCGTACAGCCTTCCGCCTCTCCGCGGAGCAGAGGGGACAGGACGGATCTGCGCCTAACTGGACCCGCCCCTCCAACTGCTGCAGCTGCAACCCGCAACCCCCTTGGGTATGTTCATGCATCCGATTCTCGATTGAATTCAAAAGTTTATAGTAACTTTTCGCCTTTCTGCGGAGCAGAGGGGACCAGATGGGTCTGCGCCTAACTGGACCCGCCCCTCCAACTGCTGCAGCTGCAGCCCGCAACCAGGCAGCTGCTGTCTTGGGTATGTCTGAATCCAGACAGTTTGCTTCGGTCACTTTCTTCCCGATACTTTTTGCCCTTTCATAGAGCAAAGGCATTTTACGTCAGGGGGTCGGGACTTGGGACTGGATGGTAATTTTTTTTCCACCCTAAACGCAAGACTCTGCACATCCACTTTGGTACCTCAACTTCCACCTACCCCTCTCCCATCCCATCCCCCCTCCCCCCGCCCTCCCTCTTCCCTCCATTTCCCTTCATGTCCCTCCCAATTTTCCCCCTCTTCCCTTGGATTTCCTCCCCCTCTTCACAGGTCCGTGGGGACGATTTGGCCAATCTCGCGCTGACACGTGTCGCGCAGAGGGACATCTGGGAGAGCCAGTTCCCTGCCACGTGCAAGGGCAGGCGAATCCTGCTGGCGGAATGGGTGGATGGACCAATACAAGGTCCAGGCCAGGCAGCAGCAGCAGGAGCAGCAGCAGCAGGAGGAGGAGGAGCAGCAGGAGGAGCAGCAGCAGATTCTGGTGCATTTGGCATGGGAACGCAGATTCAAGTCATGTCTGCGTTTCTGAGCATTGCTGTGCGGCACAACCGCACGCTGGTGGTGGCGCCAGGGACGTATTCCAGAGCCAACAACTCTGCCTGCCAAGGTATGCGCATCGATGGGAATGCTACTTCTTCCCAATCGCCTCCCAGGAGTGTGTAGACGAGGCTGTAGCAGCTGTTTTCCCTGTGGTAGAAGTGCCTCGATCGAAATTCCTTCCCTTTTCCCACATATTCCCCCTCTCCTCAATTTCAGCCGCAAATCACACGGGCGCATGGGAGTGCTACTTCTTCCCAATCTCATCACAGGAGTGTGTAGACGAGGCTGTAGCGGCCGTAGCAGCCAATCAGGCTACTTCGGCCAATGGACCGGACATGGAGGCTCGGCTGGCCTCGCCGGACCTGGTTGTTAGGTTCGCAGATGCAAGGCACTTTGAGGACGTGGACGGGGCCAAGTAAGTCAGCCCGTTGTTATGTACAGTTAATATGTTAAGGCACTTGCAAAAAAAAAGATAGAAAAAAAGGTACCCTCCTTTTAGTCCTTTTCATGTGTACAGAATGTGGGCCTTGGAATGCCCCCAAATTTCTTACCCTTTTTCTTGCCCGAAAATTTAGCATGTAGACAAGAAAAGAAGAACAAACAAGAGGAATAAACATGTATTGTTTATTTCTTCTTCGATCGATTCCCTCTCTTTCAGGCGATGGGGCACACCGTGGAGGGACCGACCATCGACAGTGGAGGTGGAGGGAGTGCTGGAAGAGGCACCTGTTGCTTCCGTGCGCTAAGAGCGTTGGATTTATGCCCTTCCACTCCCCCTCCCTTCATTCCGCACTCTCCTCAACAGGCGATGGGGCACACCGTGGAGGGACCGACCATCCACCGTTGAGGTGCAGGGGGTGCTGGAGGAGGCGGATGAGAAGACGATGCAGGTGAGGCAGCCGATTCATGGGATGAGGCGCAGACCAGTAGTGCAAAACTGCACCACCGTAGCTCATTACATCAACTCCGACCATCCACCGTTGAGGTGCAGGGGGTTCTGGAAGAGTCGGATGAGAGGACCATGCAGGTGAGGCAGGTGAAGTGATTGGAAGATACATGGGTGCGGCCCAACCCAGTGCACGGGTGTAGTACTTCCTCCCCTTCCCATTCCCCTTTCCCATGCTCATCATCCTCCTTCCCCTCTCGAATTTTGGTCCCCTTGGCTGACTCAGCATCGGTGGTGGCACGCCCAGTCAGCACGCTTCCTCCTCCGCTGGCCATCTGCACACCTCTGCCACGTCATCAACCGCATCCGCCACGTCAGCTACGGCCTGCGATTGGCCGTGCACATATCTGACATCAGCGCAGAAGAATCTGACATCATCCAATCCCTCGAAAAGGGCACCAGCCAATCAGGAAAAGGCATTCCAGATTTCAACATGACCAAAGAAGCAGAGTTTCTGAAGGGAATCAACTTTGCTCCGCCGAACCTGGAGACTGACGTCTGGCCCGGGGAAGGCTTTGCTGGGTGTTTGGTTCGGGATACGGACGGCGAAACGCCGGCCACGTTAGACAAAACATTCAAGGGAGTGGGCGGGGAGGTGTTTATATTTCGACCAATCGTGAGCGTACACGTGGCGCATGGAGACGCTGTGCTGGAGGGAGGGGGGGTCCAGGGGGGAAGTTTCCCGGAAGGGGGGTCTCGGGTGAAGCTGAGGTCGCTAGGGGTGTACATGTATTTTGCGTATCAGCTGCAGTTGCATGTTCCGACCATCAACCACGCTTGGTTAAGCACAGATGCACAGGTGAGAGGCCCGATCTTTTGGTCTCTCTCAATAGTTTCTCGCTTCATACGTCATTCGCTTTTCGTTTTGGTTCTGGTTCGCTTTGGTTTGTGTTGATCTCATATTGCCTTCCATTATTCTCATCTTCATGTGCATTTTTCAACCTGTGCTACATTACCGTGTGTCGTGTTGCTTTCAGTCGACGCTGGAGGAGGCAAAGCAACTGCGCGACTGGAGCTTCTTATATTCGGAGCACCCATCACAGCAGGCAGCTGCGGTTGGTGGTGTGGCAGCTGAGAATGGGGATGGAACCGTTGAGCAGTCAGCAAATGACAAAACGGTTGCAGTGAAATTCGCTAATCTGCTTATTGCAGCCGAAAGTGACTATTTTGTGGGCATGCTTGGTTCCAATTGGAACAGGCTCATTGATGGGTTGCGCAGCACAAATGGCAGGCTATTCTCAGGCTATGTGGCCTTAAGCTTATAAATGCTTCAAGTTATTGCACCATTTTCTTTTGTACCCCTTTGAGATGCTTCGGATAAAAGAACTGGAGATCGCTGAGTGCGAATGAAAGGATGATGCATTATCACATCGTTTTGAACATGCGAGATGTTGATGGTAGATTGAGCTCATATCGAGTATATCGTCAATCACCCAGCCACCGAGTCACCGACCTCTAATGCGGTTCCCTCAAGTTTCCCGTTTGGCGGTTCCCGAAATTTGACGGCCAAGCGACTCGCGGCAAGTACCGACAAGTTTCCGGTCGCACGAAATGACTTCCGCCAGCCCCTTTCCTGGACCGACACCTTTCATTCTTCCCCCCTCCCCCCCGACCATCCCAAAACGTGGTGGTGGGCGGGGTACAGTAGTGGCTCTCTCTCTCCCGCCAAGCTACCTTTCTCCCCGCGCCAAGGCACCTCCGCGACACCTCCGCGTGCCTTTTCCCCCATCCCTCACAAACCAGATTCGTCACGTCACACATCCCTATGCCCCAACCTCTTCCAATCTGGGAACATCTTCACCGAATTATAATTCACTCAACCTTTTTTAAAGCAACTGAACCCTCCTATTTCAACCCTTGAGCTGAATTTGAAACCAAACGAATATTCGGGCACACCGCGCTCCAGTAACCCCGTGACGGCAATCTCGAGGGAGCGGAGCGGAACTTCCACCATCGCCACGCGGGGAATCTGATGGCCCCTACCAGTTGGGTTTGACTGGCGAGCAGAAACGTGAGAAAGGCAATCCATTCCGTGCTTGCCGTGCCTGAAACCGTGTTTCCGCTTTTCAACTGTTCCGCTTTGGATCCCTCAATGGTATCAATGGCGATGGATTAGCAGAGCGACGCATTGCAGTGCATTTCTAGGTTGTGAGCTTCATTCTTCCGTTTCCTGTTTGTACGCAGTCAGCTGCCATTTCGTGAGAGTCGCTGAATTGATTTCACATAGTAATCCTCAAGCGGTCAACCAGTAGTGTTTTCAACCTCGTCGAACACCAAGCGACCGAGCTTTGAAGCTGCTATTTATTCTCACTATCCCGCCTTTGTCTGTTGAAATTCTCATAGCAGCGCGCAGGTTTTTCTCGTTATTCGCGATAGACTCGAACCGCTCCCATGACCTCAAGCTCGTTGCGTCGTTACACAGAGAGATGACAGTACGGGCGAGCCGCTCCTCGGAGTGGCGAATGCGTAAGCAGCAGAAACAGTTAGGATGGCCGGTAGATAAGCCGGAGCAGCAGCATGTAGATAAATGGGTGGCGGAACAGAGACAGCAGCGTTCAGAGCATCCTCACACTATTTATAATGATAGGAAAGAGCACATTGATGGGAGAGAAACGGGTATTAATGACAGGCAAGCGGTGCACTATACTGATGCTGGGGAATCAGGTGTTTATGAAAGGCGGGAGGAGGCTGCGATGACGAGGAGACGACGACAGCCGTCGCACGCTGCACATAAAACGCCGTTGCTACTAAAATCGCCGTCGTCATGTCGCATGCCATGGCGACATTCTTCTAAGTCTCGGTTCGATGTAGTGCATGCGGCGATGTCGGTTCCCTTACCGAGGCTTAGGTCATTCTCCGTTAGAAGAACGTCAGTTTCCGTCCTTCTCCGTTTCTTTCTGATTATTTTTACATTCCAGTCTTCTCTCGCCTCGACAGATGCAGCTGACGCAAGCAGCAGCTTCGTCCACGTAGACAGGAGCGCGAGTCTAGTCAGCAACAGCGTCATCCGCATAGGCAGCAGCAAACTAGAAAGCCAGGTGGAATCAGCAGCAGACAGAAGACTGGCAGGAGCAGAAGTAAGTGTGGGGTTTCCAGGAGCAGAAGCAGACAGACAGCAAGGAAGAGCTGTAGCAGAAGCGGATGGTGCGGGGTTAGTAGTAGCACCGGCAGGAGAAGGTGGAGTGGGATTAGAACGAGCAGCGGCAGTCAGATGGCGGGCGGAGAGGCAGTTAATGATCGCGTCGAGAGCAGCGGCAGCAGGGGGGTGGGTGGGGCCACTGGAAAGGCCGAGAGCGGCAGGAAACGTGAGCGTGTTTGATTCGACTCAAAAGAACGTGGGCGTGATCGTGGCAGGGAGTGTGCGTGCCAACATAGCAGGGAACGTGGGTGTGCGCGCTGCTGCGTTGAGGAGCAGGAAGCTGGCGGCAGCAAAGCTACCTTCGCAGAAAGGTCAGCAGAAAGGGTGGAAACTGGAATGGCGGGACCGTGTTTCGTGGTGACTTGGGAGTATCAGACGCGAGTCTCTGCGAGTATGCGTTTCTGTAAGTCGACTGCTGCGTTGAGGAGAAGGAAGCTGGTGGCCGCAAAGCTTCCGTCGCAGAAAGGTCAGCAGAATGGGTGGAGAAGCACGACGGTTTCTGCTAGACTATCTAAAAAACACCCTGAAAGTTAAGCAGAAAGGGTGTGACGCGACTGTATCTTCGAGAATTCCAAAAGTACCTTAAGCAGCCAGCAGAATGGATGGAGTGGTGAGACGGAGCAGATGGTGGAGTGGTTACTACTGGAGAGTTTCAGAAGAGGTTACTTGATTGACAGAGTATGGTTGACTGGTTACCAGACGCTGCACGCACCTCTTGCTCTCACTCACCCTAATCGCTTTTCTCTATTTCCCTTCCGCCAGGTTTCGTGAGCATAGACTGCGGCTACATGGGTTCGTCAGGCACCAGCAATCTCGGCGTCAGCAGCAAATCCCACTCTCATATTGCTCCTCAACTTCCTCACCCTCCGCCCGCCTCCCTCAATCCCTCTCCCCTCCACCGGGCTTCTCGTGAGCATAGACTGCGGCTACATGAGTTCCGCTGGAGCGAGCAACCTGGGCCTCAAGTGGTTACCAGACACGGCAGCGAATCCCATTCTTCCTCTAATCCCTCCCTCCCTGCTTTCCCTCTCTCACTCCCTGGCCCACCCTACCAGGCTTCGTGAGTATAGACTGCGGCTACATGGGTTCCGCTGGAGCGAGCAATCTGGGCCTCACGTGGTTACCAGACACGGCAGCGCCAGGCGGTAGTGTGGCGGTGATCACCCGCGTGCCGGATAACCTGGTGGGGCAGGTCACGGTGGAGCAGACGCTGAGGGTGTTTGACGATGCGAAACCGTCCAACTGCTACCAGATTCCTCTCGTTGCCCCAGGTGAGCTGGGCAGTGAAAGCAGAACTAGAGTGAGGACGTATGAGTGGCAGTGTGGTAGTGTGGCGGTGATCACCCGCGTGCCGGACCAGCTGGTGGGGCAGGTCACGGTGGAGCAGACGCTGAGAGTGTTTGACGATGGGAAGCCGTCCAACTGCTACCAGATTCCATTATTGGCAGCAGGTGAGCTGACTGCAGCAGGTGAGCTGACTGCAGCAGGTGAGCTGACTGCAGCAGGTGAGCTGACTGCAGCAGGTGAGCTGACTGTAGCAGGTGAGCTGACTGCAGCAGGTGAGGCAAACATGCGAGGCGAGAGTAAGCACATGTGAGTGGGTGGGACGGACGATGGTCACGGTGGGGCAGGTCACGGTGGAGCAGACGCTGAGGGTGTTTGACGATGGGAAACCCTCCAACTGCTACCAGATTCCTCTTGTTGCCCCAGGTGAGTTGGGCAGGGAAAGCAGAACTAGATGCGCTGCAGTGTGGCAGTGATCACCCGCGTGCCGGACCAGCTGGTGGGGCAGGTCACGGTGGAGCAGACGCTGAGAGTGTTTGACGATGGGAAGCCATCCAACTGCTACCAGATTCCCTTGGTTGCCCCAGGTGAGCTGGGCAGGCAGCAGAAGAGTGAGAATGTATGAGTGGCAGTGTGGCAGTGATCACCCGCGTGCCGGACAACCTGGTGGGGCAGGTCACGGTGGAGCAGACGCTGAGAGTGTTTGACGATGGGAAGCCATCCAACTGCTACCAGATTCCCCTCGTTGCCCCAGGTGAGCTGGGCAGGCAGCAGAAGAGTGAGAATGTATGAGTGGCAGTGTGGCAGTGATCACCCGCGTGCCGGACAACCTGGTGGGGCAGGTCACGGTGGAGCAGACGCTGAGAGCGTTTGACGATGGGAAGCCATCCAACTGCTACCAGATTCCCTTGGTTGCCCCAGGTGAGCTGGGCAGGCAGCAGAAGAGTGAGAATGTATGAGTGGCAGTGTGGCAGTGATCACCCGCGTGCCGGACAACCTGGTGGGGCAGGTCACGGTGGAGCAGACGCTGAGAGTGTTTGACGATGGGAAGCCATCCAACTGCTACCAGATTCCCTTGGTTGCCCCAGGTGAGCTGGGCAGGCAGCAGAAGAGTGAGAATGTATGAGTGGCAGTGTGGCAGTGATCACCCGCGTGCCGGACAACCTGGTGGGGCAGGTCACGGTGGAGCAGACGCTGAGAGTGTTTGACGATGGGAAGCCATCCAACTGCTACCAGATTCCCTTGGTTGCCCCAGGTGAGCTGGGCAGGCAGCAGAAGAGTGAGAATGTATGAGTGGCAGTGTGGCAGTGATCACCCGCGTGCCGGACAACCTGGTGGGGCAGGTCACGGTGGAGCAGACGCTGAGAGTGTTTGACGATGGGAAGCCATCCAACTGCTACCAGATTCCCTTGGTTGCCCCAGGTGAGCTGGGCAGGCAGCAGAAGAGTGAGAATGTATGAGTGGCAGTGTGGCAGTGATCACCCGCGTGCCGGACAACCTGGTGGGGCAGGTCACGGTGGAGCAGACGCTGAGAGTGTTTGACGATGGGAAGCCATCCAACTGCTACCAGATTCCCCTCGTTGCCCCAGGTATGCTGAGTGGTAACCAGAGTGCACGAACGAATGAGCAGGATCAGGTAAGCACATACGAGTGTGGCTGTGATCACACGTGTGCCCGACCAACTGGGGGGGCAGGTCACGGTGGAGCAGACACTGAGAGTGTTTGACGACAGGAAGCCCTTCAACTACTGGCGTTCTTTGAGAGCTCTCAGTAAACGCCTGTGTTTAAAGATGAGAGACCCTTTAACCGCTACCTTTGAGTGAGCCGACATACAGCAAGAGCAGATGGTTCTATATTGCGCTAAGAGCAACTGGTTTTGCAGGCCCGTACCTGCGCTGTGCTCCTCACCTCCTGGTACCGTACTCACCAACCAACCATTGCGTTTTGGTGCATTTCCTCCTCCTCTCCCCACATTCTCCCCCTCCTTTCCCTCTCCTGCAGGTCGCTACCTGGTGCGCCTCACCTTCTGGTATGGTAACTACGACAGCAAGAACATGCCACCCGTTTTCAACGTCACAGTCGGCACCGCATCGCTGTAAGCTGGTTTCCCCCTTGCCTTCCTGCCTCTATCTATCGGTTATGTTAGGCTAGATATCCAGACAGCAAGAACATGCTGCCCGTTTTCAACGTCACAGTCAGCACTGCATCCCTGTAAGCGAGCTCCCTCATCCTCGTCCCTCTCTTGTTTCTTTGAAGTTGCATCCGCCCCCCCCCTCCCACTTTCCCCCCCTTCCCTCCCCTCTCTTCCCCAACCCTCAGGGGGCAGTACACGCCATCCAATGACCAGATTCTTGTGCTGGAGGTGATAGTAACGGTGCCAGCGCGCACCATGGCCATCTGCCTCGTGCGTGTCTCCGCCGATCCCATCATCAACGCCCTCGAGATCCGCCCGCTCCCCGCCGGTGCTTATAACGAGAGTGACTATAGCGATCAGCTGCTGCTCAACTACTGGAGGCTGTCCTGTGCTGGCGACTCGTGGCTTGTCGGTTCCTACCGGTAAGGCTTGTCGCGTTAAGGCATGTCGCGGAAGGCTTATTTTGTCATGCTTTGGCGGTTTTAAGTCGGCTCAAAGGTCAAGTACTGCTGACTTTCTCCCCACCCTTTCCACAGCATGCCACTTTTCAAAAACCTGGCATGACTCTTTCCATGAATACCTGGCATGCAGCCTACACCTGCATTCCCTTCCCTACCCACCGTATCCCCACCCTTTCCACAGCATGCCACTTTTCAAAAACCCTGGCATGACTCTTTCCATGAATACCTGGCATGCAGCCTACACCTGCATTCCCTTCCCTACCCACCGTATCCCCACCCTTTTGACACTTTCCCAGCTACCTGATGACCCGTTGGATCGCGTGTGGTACGCAGACATGCCTCTTTCTGTTGCAGGGTGTTTGTGAGAATTCCCCAAAACACCCTGCAACGTGTGGTACGCAGACATGCCTCTACTTGGCGACCCCGCGCCCAGCACCTACACCTACATCCCCGCAGCCCCCTTACCGTTCCCTTTCCCATCCCTCCCCCTCCAACCTATTTTTCTCCTTCCTGTCCTAGGTACTCTGACGACCCATTGGATCGCGTGTGGTACGCAGACATGCCTCTTTTTGGCGACCCTGCTCCCGGCACCTACACCTTTCCGCCTTCTTCCCCTACCCTTCTCTGTGTCACACTCACTCCCAGTTACCCCGATGACCCATTCGATCGCGTGTGGTACGCGGACATGCCTCTATTTGGTGACCCCACTCCCGGCACCTACACCTACATCCCCGCAGCCGCCTCTGTGGCCGTCACCAGTAGCAGCAGTGTGACCGTCCCTGCCAGCATGAGCAGCAGCAACCCTCTTCCCCTCTTTCCCTTCTCCCTCCCCTCTCTCCTTTCCCTGTCTTCCCCCCTCCCCCCCCACCCCTCCCCCCCTTTCTCCCCTCCCCGCTTCTCGGCCTCTCTCACTCCCAGGTATCCAGACGACCCTTTGGATAGGGTCTGGTACGCGGACATGCCTCTCTTTGGTGACCCCACTCCCGGCACCTACACTTACATCCCTGCAGCCGCCTCTGTGGCCGTCACCAGTAGCAGTGTGACCATTCCCGCCAGCATGAGCAGCAATGCCGTGCCTCAGTTTGTGGTGCAGAAGGCGAGGACGACTAAGAGTGCGCAGGGGCTCACTTACAGCTTCTATGGGCTGGCCCCTGGAAAATACCAGGTGGGTGGGTTGTTTGAGCGGTGCTGAGTGGTTCTGAGCGTTCATCCCTGCGAGAATGAGCAGCAATGCCGTGCCTCAGTTTGTGGTGCAGAAGGCGAGGACGACTAAGAGTGCGCAGGGGCTTGCTTACAGCTTCTATGGGCTGGCCCCCGGAAAATACCAGGTACGAGCCATCATTATCACCAGCAGTGGCAGCATTCCCGTCCCCGCCAGCATGAGCAGCAACACTGTGACGACTAAGAGTGCGCAGGGGCTCACTTACAGCTTCTATGGGCTGGCCCCCAGAAAATACCAGGTACGAGCCATCATCACCACACCACTAGCGAGGCCATTCCCGCCAGCATGAGCAGCAATGCCGTGCCTCAGTTTGTGGTGCAGAAGGCCAGGACGACTAAGAGTGCGCAGGGGCTCACTTACAGCTTCTATGGGCTGGCTCCGGGAAAGTACCAGGTATGAGCCGAGCCATCATTATCACCACCACCAGCAGCAGCATTGCCATCCCTGGCAGGATGAGCAGCAATGCCGTGCCTCAGTTTGTGGTGCAGAAGGCGAGGACGACCAAGAGTGTGCAGGGGCTCACTTACAGCTTCTATGGGCTGGCTCCTGGAAAATACCAGGTGGGTGGGTTGTTTGAGCAGTGCTGAGTGGTTCTGAGCGTTCATCCCTGCGAGAATGAGCAGCAATGCCGTGCCTCAGTTTGTGGTGCACAAGGCGAGGACTACTAAGGGTGTACGGGGGCTCAATTATCGCTTCTATGGGCTGGCTCCTGGGAAGTTCCAGGTGGGTGTGAGTGGTTGGGTTGGTTGTTTGAGTGGTATCGAGTGGTTTTCTCAATCAACGGCTTGCGTCTCTTCCGCAAAGCCCCCACCCACCCTGCCTTCAATCTCCAACTGGCAGTGAAGTATGAACATTGAGTTGACTTTTGAGTCGACACAAAAGCCCCCACCCACCCTGACTTCAACTTCCAACTGGCAGTGGAATATCAACACCGCCAGCAGCTGAGGTGTTCATTCTCATAGCTCTTTCTCCGCCTCTCTTTCCCTCCCCCCCTACCATACCACTTCAGGCCTACCTCTATTTTACCGACATCATTCCTCCTACTGACGCCACTAGCACCAGCACCCCATCAGCCGACCTCCTGGCCATCCTTATTAACGGCTCGCCTCTCCTCCGCAACGCCTCCCACTCTGCCCTCGGCCGCTAACCGCCAGTGGAACAAAAACACCGCCGGCAGATCAGGTGTCCATTCTCCAAGCTCTTACTTTCCTGCTCCCCCTCCTTTTCCCCCCTCTCCTTTTCCCCCCTCCTCTCTTCGCTCCCACCCACCCTCTCTGCTCCCCCAGTACTGCAGGCGTACCTCTATTTCACTGACATCATTCCGCCTACTGCTAGTGTTGCCAGCACCAGCAACACCAGCAGCACCCCGTCAGCCGACCTCCTGGTGGCCATCCTGATCAACGGCTCGCCTCTCCTGCGCAACACCCCCGCCCTGCCCTCCGCCGCTAACCGCCAGTGGAACAAACGCACAGCTGGCTGTTCAGCTTCTGATTTTATGGATTCTTTGTCCCGCCTCCTCTTTTCCCCTTCCTCTCTTCCCCTCTGCCCCTCTCCTCTCTCCCATCACCACTGCAGGCGTACCTCTATTTCACTGACATCATTGCTCCTACCGCCAAGGCCACCAACACCAGCAGCAGCACCCCATCAGCCGACCTCCTGCTTGCCATTCTCATCAACGGCTCGCCTCTCCTCCACAACGCCCCCGCCCTGCCCTCCGCCGCCAACCGCCAGTGGAACAAAAACACCGCCGGGCAGCTCAGCTTCGCTTTCGAAGTCGTTGGGGCAGCTGAAGGGGCAGCTGGAAACATGACGGCGAAGGGGCAAGGGGCCGGGCAAGTGAACGGGCAGGGGAACGGGCAGGGGAATGGGCAGCAGCAGGGGCCGCAAGGAACGGTGGCGGAGACAAGTATACAGCTCAAGGCAGAGGAAGGGAGCAGGGTGAAGGAGGTGGGGTTGGCTGGACTGGAGCTGTATACTGTGGTGGAGCCAAAGGCTGCCGTGCCGAGGGAGCAGGGTACGTGTGTAATCTGTAAGAATGCTTCTTGTGTTGTGTGTGTGCGCTCTGTTTCAGTTGGGTGTTGGGGTTGGCTGGACTCGAGCTGTATGCTGTGGTGGAGCCAAAGGCTGCTGTGGCGAAAGAGCAAGGTGAGTGGGTCACTGCTGTCAGTTCAGGTGACAGTCCCTGTGTGTGTGTGTGTGTGCTTAAGGGGGTGAAGGAGGTGGGTTTGGCTGGACTGGAGCTATATACTGTGGTGTGGTGGAGCCAAATGCTGCTGTGGCGAAAGAGCAAGGTGCGCTGTGTGTTTTAAGAACACTAGAAATCATGGAAGCGACACAACAAGTAAAGGATGCTGACGTGCTGAGTCATAATGCTGTCGTGCTGAGTCATGATGCTGACGTGCTGAGACATCCTGTTAACGTGCTGAGTCATGCGACGTGCTGAGTCATGATGTCGACATGCTGAGTCATGCTGTTGACGTACTAGGTCATGCTTTTGACGTGCTGAGTCATGCTGTTGACATATGAGTCATGCTGTTGACGTGCTGAGTCATGCTGTTGACGTACCGAGTCATGTTGTTGACGACCGAGTCATGTTGTTGACGACCGAGTCATGCTGTTGACGTACTGAGTAGAAGCTTTTCCTGCATCTCTCAGTAGCTCTCCAGAATGAACCAACAAGTCAACAGAATGGTTTAGCAAACCCACAACATAGCTTAGCATGTCAACAGCACAGGCCAGCAAACATAGCTCAAGATTTATGTAACTCAATGTGATTGAGCAGTTCAAAAGCTGTCTTGTGAATGTGTCCTCGTCCCCCTCACAGTTCGTGCCCTGGCATGCATTAAAGCACAGATGGGCAGGGCAGCAGCTTTGGATAGCTGGACTGGCGACCCCTGCTACCCCATTGTTTGGCCCGGAATCATTTGCAAGACCTCTCGCCATCAGTCTTCAGTCATCGGCCTGTGAGTCGTTGAATCGGTATGCTGGTGTGGACGCTTGGAATGGATTGACCTGCCCTATGAGTATATGCGACCTCTGCTACCCTCCCATTGGTGTGGCTGGGGTGGAAGGAGACTGTTGTTTGTTTACCAGCAGCTGCCAGCACCCCTATGTGCCACCTGTCATCCCTCCATGTGCCGCCTGTCATCGTCTCCTTGTGCCACCTGTCAATTTCTCCTTGTGCCACCTGTCATCTTCTCCTTGTGCCACCTGTCAATTTCTCCATGCGCCACGTCTCTCTCCACCCACCAGGAATCTAACCCACCTCAACATCTCCGGTCCTTTCTCAGCCTGCATCTCTGAGCTTTACACACTCCAGACTCTGTAAGCTCCTCACCTTTCAGCCTTCCTTCTGAGATGTCTCAAAATCCCACCTCAACATCTCCGGTCCTTTCTCAGCCTGCATCTCCCAGCTCACCACACTCCAGACTCTGTAAGCTCCTCACCTTTCAGCCTTCCTTCTGAGATGTCTCAAAATCCCACCTCAACATCTCCGGTCCTTTCTCAGCCTGCATCTCCCAGCTCACCACACTCCAGACTCTGTAAGCTCCTCACCTTTCAGCCTTCCTTCTGAGATGTCTCAAAATCCCACCTCAACATCTCCGGTCCTTTCTCAGCCTGCATCTCCCAGCTCACCACACTCCAGACTCTGTAAGCTCCTCACCTTTCAGCCTTCCTTCTGAGATGTCTCAAAATCCCACCTCAACATCTCCGGTCCTTTCTCAGCCTGCATCTCCCAGCTCACCACACTCCAGACTCTGTAAGCTCCTCACCTTTCAGCCTTCCTTCTGAGATGTCTCAAAATCCCACCTCAACATCTCCGGTCCTTTCTCAGCCTGCATCTCCCAGCTCACCACACTCCAGACTCTGTAAGCTCCTCACCTTTCAGCCTTCCTTCTGAGATGTCTCAAAATCCCACCTCAACATCTCCGGTCCTTTCTCAGCCTGCATCTCCCAGCTCACCACACTCCAGACTCTGTAAGCTCCTCACCTTTCAGCCTTCCTTCTGAGATGTCTCAAAATCCCACCTCAACATCTCCGGTCCTTTCTCAGCCTGCATCTCCCAGCTCACCACACTCCAGACTCTGTAAGCTCCTCACCTTTCAGCCTTCCTTCTGAGATGTCTCAAAATCCCACCTCAACATCTCCGGTCCTTTCTCAGCCTGCATCTCCCAGCTCACCACACTCCAGACTCTGTAAGCTCCTCACCTTCCCCCCTACATACTCCAAACTCCATTCCCTGAACTTCTGAGGCGCCTAAAAAAATGTAAGCTCCTCACCTTCCTCCCTACATACTCCAAACTGCATACCCTGAACCCCTCATCCCACCATCGCCCTCTCTTCACCTTGTATATGCTCCATATTCTGCTGCTCCCTGCTCTTTCCCCCCTTATCCCCATCTCCCCCTCTCTCCCTCTTCCCCTCTTCCCCTCTCCCCCCCTCTCCCTCTCCCCCCCTCTCCCTCTTCTCCACGTGTCAGCTGGATGGATCACAACCAGCTCCAAGGCTCCATTAGGTTCCTCCTCCCACTTTCCCTCATTCTCCTATTCCTCCCTCTTTCTCTCATTCTCCTCCCTCTTTCCCTTCTCCACGTGTCAGCTGGATGGATCACAACCAGCTTCAAGGCTCCATCCCCTCGTCTATTGGGAACCTCACGCAACTGCGATCCATGTACGTGTTGTGGATGAATTAGGGGGCAATGCATGTATTTTCTATAGAAAATAATAGAGCAATCCGTGTACATCCTATAGATGATTATAGAGCAATCCATACCCGTCGTATATAGTGGTTCCTCTGCGTTCTCCCCTCTCCCCTCACCTCACCTCTCTCTCCTCCTTCCTTTCCCCCCTGTCTACCACCCACCAGCAAGCTCAACAACAACAAGCTGTCAGGGCCTGTCCCTGCTGCCCTTGCTGCTCTGCCCAACCTGCAATACCTGTGAGTGCTCCCTTGCTCCTTTGCCGACTTGCTCCCTTGCGCTCATGCTCCCTTGCTCTCTTGCTCTCTTGCTCCCGTATTCTCTTGCTCCCTTGCTTCCCGTATTCCCTTTTTAAACTGCAAAGACCCGAGCTAGCTATCACTATCTTTCAGTTTCTGCTCCTCCTGAGCTATCTATCACTATCTATTCATCCTTCTGCACTCCGCACACCCCCCAACTCCCCCTCCTTCTAACTGCAGCGACCTGACCTCCAACAATCTCTCCGGTCCCAGTTTCTGAGACGAGTTTTGAGACGTCTCAAAAGTCTTATCTGTTTTTCCACCCCACGCCCCACTCCCCTTCCCCCCACTGCAGCGACCTGACCTCCAACAATCTATCCGGTCCCTTCCCTTTCAACAGCTCCAGCAACGTGCAGATCGGGTTCGTCCCTACCCTTCCCTACCCTACCCTACCCTACCCTACCCTACCCTACCCTACCCTACCCTACCCTACCCTACCCTACCCTACCCTACCCTACCCTACCCTACCCTACCCTACCCTACCCTACCCTACCCTACCCTACCCTACCCTACCCTACCCTACCCTACCCTACCCTACCCTACCCTACCCTACCCTACCCTACACTAACCGCCCTCAAAATCTGAATCACTTATCAGAATTCTCAAAAGCCACTCCAGCCCTCACTCCCTTTCAACAGCTCAAGCAACATGCACATCAGGTTCGAGCTCTGAGTCGACTCAAACATGCAGATCAGGTCTGTTTCGATCAAACTCTCAACCAAACGAACCCAGAGCCCCTGCCCTACACCACACACCCCAACTTCTCCCTCGATATCTACCAGAGGGTGATGAGCAGAGGGCAACATTCCCCTCCACTCCCCAGATCCGACTCGTCTACAGACCTCCCTCCTTCGTTCCCCACCATCCCCCCCACCACCTTCCCCCTTCTCTGCAGTATCTCAGGCAACCTCAATCTCTGCTCTCCAGACGCCTCCTTCGGCCTCCCTCCCTGCAACCTCACCATCCCCACCGCCCCTGCCTTAATCGCTATATGCTTCCGTTTTCCCCCTACCCCGTTCCCCCCTTGCAGTATCTCAGGCAACATTAACCTCTGCTCCCCAGATGCATCCTTCGGCCTCCCTCCCTGCAACAACACCATCCCCCCCGCCCCCTCCTCCTCTCCATCTGACACGTCAGCACAAGCTGCCACGTCACCAGCGGCCATGAGCACAGCTGTCCTCATGGCGCTCATCCTAGGTGTCATCATCGGCGTGCTATTGGTCCTCCTCGCCAGCTGGCTGCTGCTGAGGTGGCAGCAGCGGGTGGCAGGGAGAGGAGGCCTGGGGGGGAGGAGCGGTGCTGGTGGTGGCGGCGGTGGTGGTGTGGGGGGGGATGGGTTGGGGCAGCAGCCGCCTGTGGTGGTGTATGTGCATGGGGATACAGGCGCTGTGACTGTGCAAGCAGCAGGTATGCGTCCCCCTCTCCTTCTTGTGATGAATTCTGAGTTGCCTAAACAAGCCAGTCAGCTCACTAGACTGTAGAGTTGGGGCAGCAGCCGCCTGTGGTGGTGTATGTGCACGGGGACACAGGGCTGTGACCGTGCAAGCGGCAGGTATGGATAGCTTTGGGCAGAAAATATGACCCAAGAAGAAAGATACTCGGTTTTTCCTCTTCAGGGCCTATTCCTCACGGGTCATTTCATCCTTCCTTCCGTGCTGCTCCATTCTTCTCCTCCTTATGCAGCACGCACTACCACATGCGATGTGAATTTCACCCACCCGTGCTGCTCCATTCTTCTCCTCCTTATGCAGCACGCACTACCACATGCGATGTGAATTTCACCCACCCGTCAACTCTCCCTCTCCCACTCCCATCCCGTGTCCCTCCCTGTCACTCCCCCCCCCATCACCCCGTGCAGACTCTGCCGGTGCGACTCTCTACATGCAGAGCAACCAGGTGCTCCTCTCGCCGAAGGCTGCTGCAGGCCTGGCCCCAGCAGCAGTAACGGCAGCAATAATATTAACCAAGTCCCTCCTCCTCCCTCCCTGTCTCCCCATTACCACCCCCTTCAGACTCTGCTGGAGCGACTCTCTACACACAGAGCAAGCAACTCTTCGTCCCTTCAGACCTCCCAGACTAACCCCAACCTCTCCTTGTCTCCCTCCCTGTCTCCCCTTTACTCCCCCTCTTCAGACTCTGCTGGGGCAACTCTCTACACACAGATTAACCACCTCTCACCCAAGGCTGCTGCAGGCCTGACCCCAGCAGCAGCAACCGCAGCAATAAAAGCAACCCTGTCCCTCCTTCTCCCTCCCTGTCTCCCCATTACCACCCCCTTCAGACTCTGCCGGGGCGACTCTCTACACACAGACCAACCACCTCTCACCCAAGGCTTCTGCAGGTTTGACCCCTGCAGCAGTAACAGCAGTAATTAAGCAAGCCTGTCCCTCCTCCTCCCTCCCTGTCTCCCCATTACCGCCCCCTTCAGACTCTGCAGGAGCAACTCTCTACACACAGAGCAACCACCTCTCGCCCAAGGCTGCTGCAGGCCTGACCCCAGCTGCAGTAACAGCAGCGGCAGCAGCAAAGACAGCAGCAATAGAGGGAGCCGAACCACCTGCATTTAAAGCCGGTGAACTCTCAGCAGCGGTACCTGCCAGCCAGGAGGAGACTCCCCTGCTGGCTCCTGTGCCTGACAAACCATCAGCAGCAGCAGGAGCAGCAGCAGTAGGTGGAGCCGTATCGGCAGCAGCAGCAGCAGCAGCAGTGTCAGCAGTACCGACAGAGGAGGCAGCCGCTACAGGAGCTGCTGCTTCTGCTGCTGCTTCCGCTACCAATGCTACGGATTCTAATGGTGCTATTGCTACTGGTTCTGCTGTTACAGCGGCTGCCGCTGCTGCTACAGCCGCTGCCGCTACAGCCGCTGCCGCTACACCCGCCGATCATTCCATGGCATGCATAGTCGCCCCAGGCTCCTCCGCACGCCGCTTCACCCTCGCAGCCCTCTCCACCGCAACCAACCACTTCTCACCGTCCGAAATCATCGGGTCAGGGGGCTTCGGGCCTGTTTACAGGGGTGTGTTACCAGACGGCCGAATGGTAGCAGTGAAACGGAGAGATGATGATTCACTGCAGGGAGACAGAGAGTTTGTGAATGAGGTAGATTTGCTCTCCCGAGCCTGCCATCCGAACCTGGTGGAGCTGGTTGGGTACTGCAGGGAGGCTCGGCAGCACCTGTTGGTGTATGAGTTCATGCCGAACGGGACAGTGAGGGAGCACCTCTATGATCAAATGGGGCAGCCGCTGGGGAGGCTGAGGTGGCTCACTCGCATTCAGATCGCACTCGGTGCTGCTAGAGGTGCGTTTTAGTGCAGCAGATGCATGTATGCGTGAGTGTTGTGTTGGTGTATGAGTTCATGCCGAACGGGACGGTGAGGGAGCATCTGTACGACCAGATGGGGCAACCTCTTGGGAGACTGCGATGGCTCACGAGGATTCAGATTGCACTTGGTGCTGCCAGAGGTGAGTTGCGTAGCATCTGAGCTAATGCATGTGTGAGTGTTGTGTTGGTGTATGAGTTCATGCCCAACGGGACGGTGAGGGAGCACCTCTGTGATCAAATGGGGCAGCCGCTGGGGAGACTGCGATGGCTCACTCGCATTCAGATTGCACTCGGTGCCGCTAGAGGTGCGTTGCATTCTAGCTGATGTATGTGCGAGTTCTGGTGTAGAGTGTATGATTTTATGCCCAACGGGACGGTGAGGGAGCATCTGTACGATCAAATGGGGCAGCCACTGGGGCGTCTGAGGTAGCTCACGCACATCCAGATCGCTCTCGGTGCCGCTAGAGGTGCGTTGCATTCTAGCTGATGTATGTGCGAGTTCTGGTCTGGTGTCTGGTGTATGAGTTCATGTCCAGCAAGCAAGGAGGCTCGGCAGCACCTGTTGGTGTATGAGTGCATGCCGAACGGGACAGTGAGGGAGCAGCTGTACGACCAGATGGGGCAGGCTGAGGTGGCTCGCACGCATTCAGATCGCACGCATTCAGATCGCACGCATTCAGATCGCACTTGGTGCCGCTAGAGGTGCGTTTTATTGCAGCTGATGCATGCATGCGTGCACGTGTGAATGGCGCATGGTATGGGTTCATTCCAAATGCATGGTTGATCGAATACCCACCTCTTCTCCCCAACCTCCCCCCTCCCCCGCCACCCCCCCGCACTCCCACACATGCCACCCACACAGCCATCCAGTATCTGCACACGTGTCTCCAGCCGCCCATAATTCACCGTGACATCAAGACGAGCAACATCCTGCTGGACGGCCGCCTGAACGCGTGCTTGATTACTATTTATCCTCTTCCTCCCAACTCTCCGCCCTCCCCTTTTCCCCGGCACCCCTGCAGCCATCCAATACCTACATACTTGTCTTCACCCGCCCATCATTCATCGTGACATCAAGACGAGCAACATCCTGCTGGACGGCCGGCTGAACGCGCGGGTGGCGGATTTTGGACTGTCCCGGGTGGGCCCGCAGGACAATAGGAGCCATGTGTCTACTGTTGTTAAGGGCACAGCGGGGTACCTGGACCCTGAGTAAGTGATGTTTATGTAAGTGGTTGCTTATTGTTGCCAAAGCAATGCTCAAGGGACCCACAGGACAACAGGAGCCACGTGTCCACCGTTGTTAAGGGCACGGCAGGATACCTGGACCCTGAGTAAGTGATGTTTACTTAAGTGGTTGCTTAGGCCAACTAATTGGTGCCCGAGTGAATAACCTACAGGACAACAGGAGCCACGTTTCTAACGTTGTTAAGGGGACAGCAGGATTCCTGGACCCTGAGTAAGTGATGTTTACTCGAGTGCTGCTGGGAGTAAGTTTTTTGCAGGCCTTTTAAAAAAGAATTCATCGATTTGATGCTCGTTTACCCCTCCAAAGTGGAACAGGCTGTGGCCCTCGTTCTCTCGTCATTCTTTACCTCCCCCACTTCCTCCCTCCCTCCTCCCTCGCTCGCAGGTACTTCACCATTCAGCAGCTGACGGATCGCAGTGACGTGCTCAGCTTTGGAGTCGTGCTGCTGGAGCTGATCTCGGGCCAGCAGCCCATCGACCTGCCATGTGCCATCTACCTCCCCTCTTGCCTCTCACTCATCACTCTCCCCCTCTTTGCAGGTACTTCACCATTCAGCAGCTGACGGATCGCAGTGATGTGTTCAGCTTCGGGGTCGTGCTGCTGAAGCTGATATCAGGCCAGCAGCCAATCGACCTGCCATGTGCTTTCATCTACCTCCCCTCTTGCCTCGCACTCATCACTCTCCCCCTCTTTTTGCAGGTACTTCACCATTCAGCAGCTCACAGATCGCAGTGACGTGTTCAGCTTCGGTGTGGTGCTGCTGGAGCTGATCTCGGGCCAGCAGCCCATCGACCTCAACCGCCCACAGCAGCACTGGAGCATCATCGACTGGGTGAGTGCCGTTGACTGGGCGTGCAGTGTTGACTGTGGGTGAGTAGCATTGAGTGGGTAGGCTCGTCTTTCCCCGTGTGTGACGTGTTTAAATTTGGAGTGGTGCTGCTGGAGCTGATATCGGGCCAGCAGCCAATCGATTAGAATCGCCCGCAGCAGCACTGGAGCATCATTGACTGGGTGAGTAGGGTCGACTGGGTAGGCTTGTTTTTACCTGTGTGGTGCTATTCACTGTCAGTTGATCTCAGGCCAGCAGCCCATCGACGTCACTCACCGCCCCTCCCCCTCACCCACGCTCGTTCTCCCGGTCTGCATGCTCTTTCTCCCTGCCCTTATCCCAGGCGCGAGACCACTTGCAGCAGGGCAACATTCGGGCAGTGGCAGACCCAACTCTCCTCCCCCACGAGTGGGACGAGGAGGCCATGTGGCGAGTGGCAGAGGTCAGCATGGTGTGTGTCGAGCCCAAGTCCCTCAACCGCCCTCCCTCCCTCCCTCCTCCCTCACCTGCTTTCCCCTTCCCTCTTCGATTCCCCTGCCCTACCCCCGTGTTTCCCCCGCCCCTATCCCAGGCGCGAGAGCACCTTCAGCAGGGCAACATCCGGGCAGTGGCAGACTCCACGCTATTTCCTCATGAATGGGACGAGGAAGCCATGTGGCGAGTGGCGGAGGTCGGCATGGTGTGTGTCGAGCCCAAGTCCCTCAACCGCCCTCCGATCACTGAAGTGGTGGCTGAGCTGGAGCATGTGCTGGCACTGGAAGTCAGCAACGCTGCTAACGCCGCTGCCGCTGCTGCGGCAGCTGCGCATGCTGCTGCTGCCGCGGCTGCTAATGCGGCGGCTGGTGCTGTGAACTCTGCGGCGACACGCGCAGGAGCTGGTTCTGGTGCTGCTGCTGGTGGCCCTGCCGCTGCTCCTGCTGCTGCTTTTGCAGCTCCGGCTGCTGGTTTTGCGGGAGGGGTAGGAGATCCGCAGCAGCAGCGGCAGCAAGCACAGCTGCAGCAGCTGCTTCTGGGGCAGGCAGAGGCGAATTCGGATCTGCTCATGTCTGGCAGTAGAGCGAGTGGGACGAGTGGGGGGAGTGGTGGGAGTGGGGGTGCGAGTGGAGTTAGTGCAGGGAATATTGGAAGGGTGAGCATGTTTTCAGGGAGGTACAGCTCTGGCAGGTTCCGAAGCAGCTCTGCTGTGGGTTCCACTGCTGTTGCTGGTCCTGGTGCTCCTCCTGCTACTGCTGCTGCTGCTGCTGGTGCTGTTGGTGCTGCTACTGCTACTGCTTCTCCTGGTGCTGGTAATGAAGCTACTGCTGCTGTTGCCGCTGACACAACAACTGCAGATCAAACAACGGGGGGCAGCACTGATGCAAGCAGTCTCAACTGGTGAGGCTGGAAGCAGCTGAGCCTTGATTTAGTGAGCACGGAAGCAGCGAAGGCGACAAAGGTTGCTAGCAACCAAGCACTGTGCCTCGACCTGGTACTACCAACAATAATGTACATCAATTTGTAACAATGTATCACGTCTGGTGTAGCAATGAACGTCAGTTACTGAAACATCTCTCGTAGCATTAGCATAAGTTTTGTACTTGTCCATGCTTTTGTATTGATTTTTTTTAGCTTCATACATAAGAGGAGAGGAGCCCTCAGGTAGAGTCTTGTGATAGAGAGGCCAAACTCTTGAATAGGGTACCAATACAAGTTTGCAAACTTGTCAAACATGAAGTATTTGTGAAGTATTTAAGTTGATATAATCGCTTTTTTATCAACCTTCCATCGTACACTGGCTCTGCTTTTGCAAGCATGACCATTTCCCGTCAAATACCTTGAGAATTAGGGCGTGTCCAGCACGTACGTTTTGGGAAATTTAGAGCCCTCACACGTCTCTCAGATCAGAAAAACTCATTGTACCTAGAAATGAACCCAGGGCGCGCTTAGTCCAAAACGCTTGTGCCTTCCAGCGCGCGGACACAACCCCCGCCACGTAATTTTCTACAGTGTTCCGAATGTGTGGAAACCAAGGTAACTAGCCCCCTCGTCAATCCTCGCGTGGGAATCCTTGCGCAAGCGAAAATTTCTCGTTTGAGCGAAAATTACTGTAGTGCGCAGGACACAATGCTGTACCGTTTTTCGCGCGCATGCTGTTGCAGGTGACGTGAGTCAGACGACTCGACGTACGTGCAGGGGACGTGCCGTCTCATGAACGAAAGCTGACCTGCTTTCTCCCCTCGGACAGTGGGGGTAGCTCCCAGCACACCGCTCACGCAAGTGCCTGGCACAGGAGGCTTTGGTGTACAAGGCCAGGGCTCTCGCTAGGTTTTGGGGCTGTCTGACAGTACCCTGAAAAAATTTTCCCCCGTCTTATGCTCGGACGACGAAACTTCCGTGGTCTGCATCATAAGCTGGAATAAATTTTCTAGTCTGATAACAAACTCCTGGCAGCATATGCCGCAGTTACATGACAGCGAGGCTGCTATAAGACACGCGTAATGAATGCGCGTGCTGTTACAGGGCAGCAAATGGCTGTACCTGTGGTCCACTGGGCATATGGCCTAGTGGGTCAAGATGTCGGTTTCAGACGAACCTAAAACTCTTATCTTACTGATCAGATGAGAACAAACACAGATTCTTAGGAAGCAGATGAATACAAGAAAACAAGTCTGAAACTCAGACCATCAGGTCAAAATGAAGAATGGATGGTGCATTGATGTTGGTTGGGGTACATATAGCTAACCCTAAGTTTTGTACCCCCTAAGACAAACCTCACTATAGGCTACAACATTTGACACACCCCCATAGCCTAAGTGAGGGGTGTCTAGCAGAACCAAACGAGTACGGTCACAAGACCAGTCCAAGAAACAAAGCTCAGGGTGGATCACAACGTCACCACACAGTCTGAGCACAAACAACAGTGGCCACAAGGCCAGTCCAAGAAGTAACAGAGATATATAGAAAGCAAAGTAAACAGTACACTCAAGTCTAAGCAACACGAGAACCAGTGTCAACAAGGCCTAACTGCACACAGCACCTCTGGTGGTCACAAGGCGGAAGCGCCTTGGTGAAGATGTCTGCAGTGTTGGCCTCGGACTCCACAAACTCAAAGCGAGCCTGTCCACGCCTCTGCAACTCTCGCAGAAGAAAGTACCTGACGTGAATGTGCTTCACTCTGCTCTCCAGTCGTGGCTCTCGACAAAGGAGAATAGACGCCTTGTTGTCAGTGAACAAGGTCGGTGCAGAGCTCGGCCGCTCACCAAGGTCGGTGAGCAAGAAGGTCAACCAACGCAGCTCCTGTGCCGCCATGGCACCAGCGTAGATCTCAGCCTCAGCTGTAGAGGTCGAGACCGAAGAGGAGCGCGTGGACCGCCAGGAAACAGCTCCAGAACCCAGGCTGAAACAGTACCCCTGAGTAGACCTGTGAGTCTCAGCGTCGTCAGCGTAAGAGGAGTCACAGTGACCAGTAAGTACGACAGACTGCTGCCCTCCAAGAACTAGCCCCACGCCTGACGTCGTCGCTAGGTACTTCGCCACCCTCACAGCTGCTGTCCAGTGAACAGGACGGTGTCTCCCTGGCGCAACAAAGCGCGCAAGAACGCTGAGAGGGAAGGCGAGGTCCGGGCGAGTACAAGTCATCAGGTACATGAGGCAACCCACAAGCTCAGCGTAGGGACCACTAGGCTCGAACGGCTCGTCAGGAAAGGGTCCAGTGAGTCTGTGGTCAACAGCAAGAGGTGTGCGCTGTACTGTGGAGTGCTGAAGCCCGAACCGCTGAAGGACCTGCTGCACCATGTGCGACTGTGAAAGTGTAATGGTGCGAGCAGCTCTGTCCCTGGTGATCTGCAGGCCAAGGTAGTGGCGCAGCTCACCAAGATCAGTGCAGGTGTGTCTCTTCTGCAGTTCGGACTTCACGTGTGCCAAAGCAACCCTGTCAGGGGTGGCGAAAACAAGGTCGTCAACGTAGACCAGAACAAAGAAAGGTGTGGTGCCACGACGAACGAACAGCGACGGGTCAGCAGAAGACGGCTGGAACCCAAGGTCAGACAGGGTAGAACGCAGGGTGTCGTGCCACTCACGAGGAGCCTGACGAAGACCGTAAACCGGTCGCCTCAGCCTCCACTGGGTCCCAGGAGGGAAAGAGCCAGTGAAGGCAGAGGGACGACGCAACCAGACCTCCTCGTGAAGACTGCCCTGAAGGAAAGCAGTAGAGAAGTCGAGAGAGTGTAACTCGTAGTCTCTCTGTGCTGCTACGTGTAGTAACACCCGAAGAGTGGTCATCTTCGGGGTGGGCGCGAAGGTCTGAAAGAAGTCAACTCCCTCGCGCTGACTGAAACCTCTAGCCACGTAGCGCGCCTTGAAGACCGGAGGAGATCCCGGTGGCCGCTTCACCCTGTAGATCCACATGCCGTCGACTACGTTCGCCCCCGGAGGGGGAACCTCATCGACGTAGGTGCCTGTGGATCTGTAGGAGGCCATCTCTGCGTCCATGGCAGCTCTCCACTGAGAGGCCCAAGGCCCTGACACTGCCTCAGCGTAAGTGCGAGGAGTCGGAATGTCAAGGGCGTCGGGGTCACCCTCAGGGGCGAGGAGCATGGCACAGAGATGAGGGGAAGCGGCCGCCAGGAACTCTAGCTCAAACTGCCTGTCCTCTAGGGCGTCACAGCCAAGGGCAGACACACCCCCGACGGCCAGAGGACTGGAAGGAGGAGCTGCCACAAGAGCGGTGGCGAAGTCAAGGCGGCGGGTAGAGGCAAAGTCAGTGACTGCGGCAGTAAGAGCGGACACAGAGGACACAGAGGCACGAGGGTGGGTAACAAGAGAGGCGAGAACACGAGAGAGAACAGGACGGTACGTGCGGTAGTAGTCAGTGACAGGAGAAGGAAGCGACACAGTGAGGGCCGACTCAGGAGGAGACGGAAGCACAGACGGAGACGGACGAGGTGGACGAGAACAAAGGAAGGCTGTACGAAGGTCAGTGAAGGGAACAGGAGACGAGGGACGAGCACGAGGGGAGCGACGAGAGGCCCAAGTCTGAGAAGGAGGAGGAGACAACGAAGACTGAGAACGAGGGAAAACAGCGGGAGAGGGGTCAGGAGGAGGAAGCGGAGGACCAGAGACGGGAGGAGAGGGGGAGGAGGAAGGAGAGGGAGACGGGAGACCAAGGGTCCGAAGACCCGAGACAGGAGGAGGAGACGGCAGCAGCTGCTGCTGCTGCTGCTGCGGCTGCTGTGGCTGCTGCTGCTCCAGCGGCTGCTGCCTCTGCTGCTGCTCCTGCTGCTGTCGCTCCTGCTCCTCGAGCCGCTGCAACTCTCTCTCCTCTCTCTCCAACTCCAGCTGCTCCTCACGAGCACGGCGAACACGAGCCTGGAACCTGGTCGGGTAGGGGTGGGGGGGAGGAGTAGTGTCCGGGGCAGCGGCAGCCCCAGAGTCGACCTCCGAAGCACCAAGCACACCACCCCCAGAGGCAGCACCAACACCAGCTCCAGACCCAGGCTCTCCAGAAACCGAAGGAACACCCTCACCCCCAGACGCAGCACCAGCACCCCCAGACTCCGCACGACCAGTACCAGCCCCCGGAGGAGAAGAGTCCTCTGCAACCCGCGGCTCAGCTCCAACTCCAGCACCCCCAGAACCAGAGACCTGTACAGGGACAGTCGCAGGACCAACCTCCCGAGAGGGAGCACCTACAGGAGGCGGTGAGGAAGACTGTGGGGAGGGAGGCTGTACAGGGGGGGCTACCGAAGGGGGAGGGCTAGCCTGAGACACACCAGACGGGGCTGGACCAGGGGGGGGAGGCTGTACCGGGGGAGCAGGCGGGGGAGCGGCGGTCAGGAAGAGGGGGGGAGGAGGAACCGGGAGACCTCGACTGGGGTACCTGACGTAGTACGGGGTGGACTCCTCGAAACGGACGTCACGGGAGTCAAAGAACCGGTGAGAGGGAGGGTGGTAAAAGGTGAAGTCAGAGGAGTCCTCAGGGAAACCAAGGAAAACACAAGGAACGGCGCGAGGCGAGAGCTTGTCCGCGGAGGTGTCGCGGACAAGAGCCAAGCACCCCCAGACACGAAACCTCGACGCGACACCAGGGGACCCTGTCCAAAGACTGGTCGGTGAAGCCTCCGGCCGAGAGACGCGTGGCCAGAGGTTCAGCTGGTGCGCGGCGTACCTGACTGCGTATGGCCACAGGAAATGGGGGGCACGGGCGTGAGTCAAGGAGGTGCGGGCAATCTCCATGACCAGGCCTATGCGACGCTCAGCAACCCCATTCTGCTGTGGGGACTCCGGAAGCGTCCAGGACTGACGAATGCCCTGTTCGCGACAGAATCCAGCGAGAATGCCGGAGCGAAACTCGCCCCCGCGGTCGGAGTGGAGACAGCTGACACGACGACCACGAGTGTCCTGGGTGGTGAGCAACCACCTGATCAGCGTAGAAGTCACCTCAGACTTCCTCGCCAGGGGGAACACTGTGGTGTAGCGGGAGTAGTCGTCAACGACCACCAAAAAGAAACGCTCACGCTCAGGGCCAGGGCGAGGAGAGGGGCCCCAGACGTCCAAGTGCAGCGTCTCAAAAGGCTCGGTGGCCG